GTGAAATTATTTGGTGAAATTGGGTCTGGCCTGAAACAGCATTTGTTATCCCCTTGTTCAGTTGTTATGTGTAATGCCACTTCTGGAAATTAAAGACAAGGTGCTAAAGAGACAGACAAGAAGACAAAAATATGATGAAGCAATTTGAAATTGCCCATCTACCACGCACCCATATGCATGGCTGTGCCTCAGTAAATAGGAGAGGATGGAGGTGCATGTTTGTTCTCTGTGGCATCTAGAAGCATGTATTAGGGTTGCTGTCAGGAATCCTTCACACTTCTGACAGCTGATAAGTTTGGCATAGGAAGAAAACGGGGGAAATGTGGATGAAGGAGTGTGGAGCATTTTTTGAAAATGGTGTTATAAAAATGAAGGTGCCCCTCCCCAAGATTTCCCGAGGCGGACCCTTCGCAGTCTACAGGAACCCAAGTTTGACAAGTGGTCCCATTCAGTTGCTAGTTTTTGCTCTGACTTCCCTCAGCTTATTGCTTGTTGATTATCTGGGGAAAGTATGCGATGTTTTGCCAAGGAAAAGATATCCTGTCATGCATTTCTTTTCCTGCTCTCATCTTTGTCTCTGAAATCTTGGGAGAATCGAGCTCTGATCATTCTGAAGTCTTGTGGCATGCCCCAGTTTGGAGGGGTGGGGAATTGTTATGCCTTTAGAGGGGAGAAGTAAATGTTATAAAAACGGCCTATGCCAGACTCTTTACTTAGCCCTTCTTGATTTTCTCCTAGTGGGAGACAAGTGTAAGTTAAATCGTATCTCACCAAATTCACTAATTCACTACCACTGTCCTAATTTTAATATTTGGCCTTGAAAACAAGGAAGTTTCATCTGCTCGCGGCACTGCCCTTTTTTGTTTCATTGCCTCTGACTTACCAGATTACCGTAGTGATCAGCACTCGAGTGACCACCGCTGCAGTCACTCTCAGAGAAGATAGCTCGCAGGTTGGCGTCGGGAGGAAACACGACCAGAAGGGAGGGAAAATAGCTTCATTTGGCCAAATCTGGCTGCTAATGTATTTAACCAGTTCCAGAATTAGAAAGCCTTTCTGTACATTTTCTTCTATTTTTCTTGCCTTTTTTTTCCCCCTTACGTAATGAAATTAAAACTTTTGGAGCCCACAGTTGACATTTTTCAGAAAATTGAGTTATCAAGGCAGTAATTATTTCACAGGGAGATAAAACTCTCATAGCCCTAACTGTCAAATAGGGCCCTTTTCAGATTTTAATTACAAAATAAAATTAGTGTGCTCTTCCTCGGAATGGTTTGTGAGTGGTTAAACAGAGCTTTCCCCAGTGCTGGTGGTCGTCAAACTCTGCTAATTAGCAATGCTGAGAAATTCCAGTTAACAAGGACATTCTCCAGGACTCTGCAGGTTCCCTGCTGTTCGCCTTCATTTCCATAAGAAGATTAAGAGAGGAGGGGAACACACTCAAATGCAGATGCAGAAAAGAAGCGTTTTTTAACAAGCATCATAATAGTAAGATGCTTGGCTAGTTCTCACCTAATTACTGCAAGTTAAACCTCTATTTGCCACTAAGAAGAAAAAAATAAGTCTACAGTCCCCTATCTCCACAGAATTCTGAGTTGGCTTCAGATGGATGGATGGATGGATGGATGGATGCATGGGAAGAGTTTGGGAGAGAAAAATCAAAGCAAAAGATTTCTTTTTACAATAAAATTGAGTTACACTTTGCAGTTAAGGCTTTTGGGCTAAGATCTACAGTAGGTCTAAATCAAATAAGAATATGCCAGGAGTTATGCATTTGTTACTCCTAATTACCAAGCTTGCTCTCCTGTGTTGGTAGCTCTTTACTGCCCGTGGAAGTATTTACACTGTCTTTCAGATAAAGCACTTTCAGGGGCCAACAGCACTGTTTTAAATTCACAGAGAATGGAACACTTTGTTTCAAGTCTTTTTTTTTTTTTTTTTCTAATTCTTTGGTAGCCAGTGGTATATTCCTGTCAGTACCGTAGCCATCTACTGTAAACCCAAAACCGTGCCGCCCCTGTCATCTGTTGGATTGTTATAGTTATCATATTTAGGGGGCAGTGACAGTGCTAGATTGAAATACAGTGGCCGGTGATCTGATGTTTTTAAATACATATGTTCTAAAGAAACTAATGAGAAAATTGCTTCTGCTATCATGATCTTCTTTAATCTTATTTTCATAGCACATTATTATGCATAAACGCCAGCCACAGTTAGTTTATTGCCTCGATAAGTACAGCAGGCATAATTAAAATAAAGCTGTAAATAAATGCAGCCAATGATAACACAATTGTAATGTATTTCCATAGCTTATTTATATGATAAAATCAATTAACAAAAGACCTAGCCAGTCCCTTTAACCTCTTAAATGCATTATTACAGAGTTCAGACACAGGCACACGCATCTGAGCATGTGGAAACGCTTTTGTATATCATCCCAAGGAAAAATTGGTGCCTCTTACTATTATGTGTCCAGAGAAAGACAGTGAGATGAAGAAGATTTGCTTCTCTAACCATGCGTTATTAATATTTATTTTAATAAATATATACCACCATTATCCACACTGGCCAACCCCTCAGTTTTTTTTTCTTCAAACTTAATTATCCATAAGCTTTTTTAAGTTTTCAGAATAATGCTATTAAGTGCAGACCAATGCATACACAATCACAAAGTGAATGCTTAGTCTGCCCTTGGCGCCTCCTGGACAATCATAATTCATTCATATGTTGAATCTCATAATTTGTACCTATTTTTTCCCGTGGTTTAACCTCCCACTTATCTCGAGGTTGTATGTACATTTCTAAGTTAAGCAAATTAACTTTGATTCTTATGATTTGGCTCTACAGCTTATATGATATGTTAACTTTTCTTTTGTTTAGATTAGGTGTAATTAGTTTGATCTTCCATCCCCCTCATTTTTTTTTCTTTATTATTTCCAAACACCTTATTTTAAAGGTAAAAGCTGGAGTCTGGGAAAAGCTAATCCATCAGCAGGGGGCGCACTAGCCCCGTCCCTGAAACCAGGCATGCCGAAAAGCCGGGTGCCGCCTTCTCCTCTCCACATCCTCTCAACCTTTTTCTCTCTGCTCATCTAGAGGTCCCGCCTGTAGCTTAATACCGCACCTCGAGTAAACAGAGAGCAGCGCTGTATCCTGAAAAATACCGGCTAGGGGGCCCGTTTGGAAAAGGCCAGTGTCAGCTTCTGCGTTCAGATTCCAAGAACCAAAGGGACCCATAACTTTGGAGGGAAAGAGACGTGTGGGGGGCTGGGGGCGCGAGGGGGAGGGCAGGTCGGCCGGAGATAGTGTATTACGCACGTCTGCAGGCTCCTTCCCGCCGCCCCACCCCCGCACCCTTGCAGCGGGCGTGCTTGGCCCGAGGGTGACAGCCATGGACACGCCAGGCAGGGCAGGCGCTGGAGGAGCCGGGGAGGGGCAGAAGGAGGTTAAGAAAGCAGCAAAGTTCTGTAAAGATAAGGCCCGGAGCGCGGCCGGCGGGGACCCTCGCGTGCGTCTCCCTAGGGCGCGTGAGGGTCGGTCGGGGGCGGAGAGCGTGCGGAGCCCTGGTGGTTTAAGCCTCTCATAAACAAGACACAGCACCAGGGTTGCGTTCCTCTCCTACTTCTTCTCTACCCCTCCTTTGTCGTCAAGTGCGTTTTAGCCACAAAGATCCCAACAAGAGAGTGGAAGGAAACTTAGACGGGGGCTTTGTTCGACCCCGTGTAGCGACAACAAGAGAAACAAAACTACCTATTTGTAACGGACGTGCTGCCACGGCTCTCCGCTTTGAGCGCCTACCTATTGAAATCTTTACGTCGGGACAATGGCAGAGCGGCTAAAATTACCCTCTCGGGTCCCGGGCGGGCAGGGTTCCGGAGCCCCCGGCCCCCCGCCATCCGGCCGCCCGCACCTGCGCCCCCCTCGGCGGCGCGGCCACCGCCCAGGGCAGCCGGCGGGGGAGATGCCAGCGCGGCCCGGGCCCCGAGCCCTGGGAACTCCGCGTGGGCGGGAGTCCGCGAGCGTGGCCCGGAGGCCACCTCCGAGCAGGGCCGGGGGAGGCCAGGAAGTGGCCGCCACCCTCGCGCGCGCCCGCCCTCCGCGCCCCGCCGGGGGAAGCTGGCACCAGTGAAATCCGCCCTTGGGGGGGTGCTGGGGCGCATCTCCTTGGCACCGAGCGGCCTGCGCTGGGAGCCGGGGGCTGCCTGGCCTCCGCTCCGCGCGGCTGGAGCTCAAGAACAGGGCTGGTTTGAGGGTTCGAGGGCCGGGGCTTCCGGGAGGGGAGGTCTCCTAACTTCCAGCTGGGACCTTCCAGAGGGGTGGGTGCTGGCACCTGTGCAGGCCAGAGAGGCCGGGGGGTGGGGGGAGAAGTGGCAGCCGCGGCGGGGAGGGGGAGGGCTGGGGGGTAGGGGGACAGGGCCGCGCCCCCTCCACGTTCCTGCGCCCGCACCTAAAAGTCAATCAGTTTAAAAGAAGAAGGAAGCGGGTGTCGGGGTGGGGGGGGTGGCCGGTGTGCACCCCCCACGCCGTCTCCGCGCCTTTTCCCCCACTGGCTTCGAACCGGCGTGTGGCGTGACCTGTTGCTGCGAGCGGGCATACAAAGGTTCCGCGGCGGCCGGCGGCCCAGCGCGGGGAGCCGCGTCCCCCGCCCGCCGCGCGCGCGCGCGCCGCGCCCGCCCCCGCGCCCGCCCGCTCCCCCGCGCGGCCGCCGGCGCCGCAGGCCCCGCCCCCTTTCATGCAAAAGCCGGCGGCGAGGCCGGGCCCGAGTGGAGGAGCCGCCGCGCGCTGATTGGTCGCGAGAAACCCATTTATTCCCTGACAGCCCCCGTCACATGGACGGTTGTCTATTAACTTGTTCAAAAAAGTATCAGGAGTTGTCAAGGCAGAGAAGAGAGTGTTTGCAAAAGGGGGAAAGTAGTTTGCTGCCTCTTTAAGACCGGGACCGAGAGAAAGAAGAGGAGAGCGAAAAGAAAAGGCAGAGAAGTTTGAGCCCCAGACTTAAGCCTTTCCAAAAAATAATAATAATAATAATAACAATCGGCGGCGGCGGCGGCGGCATCGGCCGGAGGCGGAGGGAAGCGCTGCTTTTTTGATCCCGATTCCAGTTCGCCTCCCTCTCTCCCTCTCTCCCTCTCCCTCTCTCCCTCTCTCTCCCTTCTCTTCCCCCGAATTGCTCTCCGTCCGGTCTCCGCGCTCGCGGCACCCCCGCCCGCCTCCCCTCCTCCTCTCGCCCCCGCCCGCGGGCCCCCGAGTCCCAGCCGCGCCGAGGGTCGGCGGCCGCCGGCGGGCCGGGCCCGCGCACAGCGCCCGCATGTACAACATGATGGAGACCGAGCTGAAGCCGCCGGGCCCGCAGCAGACTTCGGGGGGCGGCGGCGGCGGCGGCGGCGGCGGTGGCGGTGGCGGCGGCGGCAACGGCGCGGCGGCGGCGGCGGGCGGCAACCAGAAGAACAGCCCGGACCGCGTCAAGCGGCCCATGAACGCCTTCATGGTGTGGTCCCGCGGGCAGCGGCGCAAGATGGCCCAGGAGAACCCCAAGATGCACAACTCGGAGATCAGCAAGCGTCTGGGCGCCGAGTGGAAACTTTTGTCGGAGACGGAGAAGCGGCCGTTCATCGACGAGGCCAAGCGGCTGCGAGCGCTGCACATGAAGGAGCACCCGGATTATAAATACCGGCCCCGGCGGAAAACCAAGACGCTCATGAAGAAGGATAAGTACACGCTGCCCGGCGGGCTGCTGGCCCCCGGCGGCAACAGCATGGCGAGCGGGGTCGGGGTGGGCGCCGGCCTGGGCGCGGGCGTGAACCAGCGCATGGACAGCTACGCGCACATGAACGGCTGGAGCAACGGCAGCTACAGCATGATGCAGGACCAGCTGGGCTACCCGCAGCACCCGGGCCTCAACGCGCACGGCGCCGCGCAGATGCAGCCCATGCACCGCTACGACGTGAGCGCGCTGCAGTACAACTCCATGAGCAGCTCGCAGACCTACATGAACGGCTCTCCCACCTACAGCATGTCCTACTCGCAGCAGGGCACCCCCGGCATGGCGCTCGGCTCCATGGGCTCGGTGGTCAAGTCCGAGGCCAGCTCCAGCCCCCCCGTGGTTACCTCTTCCTCCCACTCCAGGGCGCCCTGCCAGGCCGGGGACCTCCGGGACATGATCAGCATGTACCTCCCCGGCGCCGAAGTGCCCGAGCCCGCCGCCCCCAGCAGACTCCACATGTCCCAGCACTACCAGAGCGGCCCGGTGCCTGGCACGGCCATTAACGGCACACTGCCCCTCTCGCACATGTGAGGGGGGCCGGACGGCGGACTGCAGGAGGGGGGAAGTGGGTGTCGCAGAGACAAGGGAAATGGGGAGAGGTGCACAAGGAGAGTGAGAACAGCATGGCGAAAAATACCCGGTACGCTAAAAAAGAAAAGAAGAAGGACAGAAAGGAAAAAAGAAAAGAAAAGAAAAATCTTTTATCACCCACAGCAAATGACAGCTGCAGGGGAGAGACCACCAATCCCATCCACACTCACGCCAAATCCGCGATGCCGACGAGAAAACTTTTATGAGAGATCCTGGACTTCTTTTTGGGGGACTATTTTTGTACAGAGAAAACCGTGGGAGGGGGGAGGAGGGGTGGGGAGGGCGGGGGAAGGGACCTTGTATAGATCTGGAGGAAAAGAAAGCTACAAAAAAACTTTTTAAAAGTTCTAGTGGTACGGTAGGAGCTTTGCAGGAAGTTTGCAAAAGTCTTTACCAATAATATTTAGAGCTAGTCTCCAAGCGACGAAAAAAAAAGTTTTAATATTTGCAAGCAACTTTTGTACAGTATTTATCGAGATAAACATGGCAATCAAAATGTCCATTGTTTATAAGCTGAGAATTTGCCAATAATTTTCAAGGAGCGGCTTCTTGCTGAATTTTGTTTCTGCAGCTGAGATTAGGACAGTTGCAAACGTGGAAAGAAGAAAATTAATAAGATTTGGACATTTTAATTGTTTAAAAATTGTACAAAAGGAAAAAAATTAGAATAAGTACTGGCAAAACTATCTCCGTGGTCTTGTTTCAAAAGGGGGGGGGGGCAAGAGTTTTACATTGTACTAAATTTTTTTTTAACTTACTGTTAAAAGCAAAAATGGCCATGCAGGTCGACATCGTGGGTAATTTATAATAGCTTTTGTTCAATCCCAACTTTCCATTTTGTTCAGATAAAAAAATGACATGATATTACTGTGTTTGAAATATTTTCTTATGGTTTGTAATATTTCTGTAAATTTATTGTGATATTTTAAGGTTTCCCTCCCTCTCCCTTCCCCCCGTTTATTTTCCGTAGTTGTATTTTAAAAGATTCGGCTCTGTATTATTTGAATCAGTCTGCCGAAAATCCATGTATATATTTGAACTAATACCATCCTTATAACAGGTACATTTTCAACTTAAGTTTTTACTCCATTATGCACAGTTTGAGATAAATAAATTTTTGAAATATGGACACTGAAATTATGCTTGAGTCTTTCATTTACTTGGATAACACTGGTGGATACATTAACTTGTCGGGGAAATTATTTACAATACTGTGCTCAACCTTGAAAGTAAAATAAATACCTAAAAACCTTGGTATGGCTGACTAGTCCAGCAGCGCGCTAATGTTAACTGGGAAAAGAACTGGCTGGATGAGCAGTAAGTACTCTGAATCTGAACTGCTTGTGTCATTTCCGAAGTAGGAACTAGAGGCATATAGCGTCAAACCCACTCGCTCCCTTGCTAGCAGCTTGCAGAAGCACTGTGGGGACTCAGACTTTAACCTGATTTATGCCACTTGTTGCCAGAAAGGAGTTGATTCTAGAATTTTTCCTGTAGCTTAGCAGATGGGGTATTGAGCCAAATCAGAACCAGGTCGGCTGGTTTTGTTTTCATTTTCTTCACAGCACAATGGCCCTTTGAGACCTGGGTATAGGGGGGAAGTGATGCTTCTTGTATCGGAATAATTGCAAACTAGACATGTAAAATGTTCATCTGCTGGGTGAGTGTTTGGATTACTCTGGCCCTGCTATTGTGTGAGAGGAAACAAGTGGTTCGCTTTCTTTGTTCCTTGACTTCATAAACTTTCTCCTCTACATTTTCCTGTTTAGGGGCGAGGGAAAGCAAAGAACGTCTTGCAAAACTCCCCGACTTATCACGGATGTAGTTTTTTTATTATTATTTATTTTATTTTTCCCCCTCTTTTCTCTCTCCCTCCCTCCCTCCCCGAATTCCATTTCTTAAATTGGCAGCGCGGGTTCAAGCCTGTAGCCCAAAATCGGATAATCTCTGCAGCTGATAACAAGCAAAAGAGAAGCCAGGCAACAGCCATATTACAGAAGAAAACACTCAACTCTGAGGTAGATATTTTACTTTGGTCTAATCACATTTGGAGATGATTATGCTTTTGATCTGTTTGTGTTACTACAGCCCGGTAGAGAGGAGGGGGAGCGGTGGGGGGTGGGGAAACAAGATTGGATTTGTTGTTTTCTTTTGCCTTAGGAAAGGTAAAGAAAGGCTGTCGTTGTCCCCGGTGGGAGCGGAAAGGTTGGAGGATAGCCATGCTCTTTGCATTAGCGATGCTTCGGCATCACGAACCGACCCGCGCCGGGGCGCAGCCGGAGGATGGAGTAGGACTTTCTTATTTACTGCTTGCCTCACTCCCCCACCACCACCTCAAGGGGACCTCCTGGGACCCACGAGTCAGGCTTTCCTAAGAGCACGAGTTTGCTTCCCACAATTTCAAGAGCTTGTCGTTTCAAGTTGCTGCAACTTTGGAGAAGTTGGGATCTGGCAGCACTTCCCGCCCTTGAGTAAAGTGCCCTCTGCAGCCGCGAAGTTAGCTCATCCCGCTGATTTCCATCTTCTCGGGTGCCAGGAAGTTTTGCTTTACTTGTGTCGCTGGTGTTAGTTCAGGGATGAACTGGTACTATCTCCTACTTCTTGTATTTTCTGTTTCATTCTGCATTGCTTTATTTTGCGTGTGGATTGGTTCTTATCTAAGAGTTTTATCCTAATTTTTTTAGGGTAATGTTAACTGGGAAGGGACAGTTATTCCAGTCCCCCGGATTCTAAGCGAAGCATTTCCCCCCTAATTAATGCAGAGACTCTAAAAGAATTTCCCCTGGCCTGGCCCGCCATTGTAATGCATATACGGATTATTCACGTGGTAATGAGCACATTCGACAGTTCTTGCTCACACATACGAATAAAAGAAACTTTGAATAAAGATCCAAATGATCACACTGGGGGAGTGGGGAGGGTATTCCCGGAATTTGAACCAATCAACTATATAGAATGTATAATTTGAAAAATAAAATAATAGTAGGAATATATGGAGTATAAAGCAGTTGCGCTAACCTTAAAAAAAAAAAAAGAACCTCCAGGATCAGACTTTAAAAAGCAACTTTTGGCCAAAATGCTCAGCTTCAAATATTCTGCCTGCAAGAGCACACCATATTTGGGGAAGTTGAGCTACTTTTGAGTTACTGCCACTGTCGCATAAAACAAGTGAACTCCTAGAACCCCTCCTATCCCTCCAGGTCTCCAAACCAACTAGTTGAAAAATGGAAGGCAATTTTTTTTTTTTTTTGCAAATTTAAATGCTTTTCATAAACTGGACCTGAAGGGGAAAAAAGATGCATATCCCCTTGTATCATTCATACTTCATTGGGTTAAATGATTGCCCAAAATGTATAATTTTATGACTGGGTTAATATTGAACTTACAACATTTATTTATTTTTTTTTACATAATGGGATTTTCTAGAAAGGGGGTAAGCCCATAAAGTTGGTCAGGGATGGTTATCTCCTTCCTGATACTAAAGATAGTTGTTAAATATTTAGTTCTGTCCCAGGGATATGATTTTGCTCAATGAAACCACTTAATGTTCAGTCAAAAGGGGTGAATTTAAATGTTTCATTAACCTTATACACAGAAGAGAAATGTGCAAAAGGATGAGATTATAGTCTGTTCTCTTTGCAATTTTTTTCTCTCCCCACACTGCCCCCGCCCCATACTTTAAATAAAGAGCGTTCAAATATTTTGCTGAGCTGTAGTAGATTAGCGACGTTTCTTGCCAATGCTGGGAAGCTGGTATTACAGACCGTCCCGGGGGAAAATGGTTCACATTAACCACTAAATGAATATTTGACAAGGGCTCATTCTGAGGTATTATTACTATAAACGTGTCCCTACTGGACTTTTCAAGGGTCAAAGAGCAACGCTTCAATTAATTATTTAGACTGCTAGTAGATTTGGTGGTAATAGCTGTATTTATTTCTAGAAACCGGCACATTCGTGCAGTAGGAGAATCTCAGGAGAATCTTCCCCATCAGCAACATCTTGGATTGAAATACACATGGAGCCCTGGCATTCTAAAGCTGACTTTTTTTTTATATAAAACCTTTTCCTGGGTTCAGGGCAGGGGATGGAATTATAATCTCTTCTTCTGTCTCATTGAATATTTTCCATTAAAAAGAAGAACATAATTTTTCTTAATTTCCACATCATATTTGGCACGATCTTTTTAGGGGTCTGCTGTTTGAGGAGAAAGGAGAGGGTGTTTATTTGTAACCCTCACCTTTTTTTAAGTAAAGATGTCACAGGATTTCAGAAACTAAGGCAACGCTCTCAATTTAGATAGGAATTTATTTGCCAATAAAATTCGGGCTTTGAAATATAAGGAAGGAATCATAGGCTGATACTCTGAGTTGTAGTAGACACAGAGCAAATTGGGGTACAAGATAGTCCCTCCTCCCTTCCCCACCTATTGGTCTGAACACTGCAAGGTGCAGTGGAGGGGGGGGGGTGACTTTCATTTCTGCCATGTCATAAGTTCCCCCGTGGCCCTAGGTAAAATGGTAAGGGAATGATTTTGAGAGTAAGATTCCTTGACAATAATATAAATTGAATGAATAAGAGATAAGCTGTGAGTGGAGGGGGGGTGGGAAGCAGTAATTACAAACCCAACTCATTCAGCTTTTCAGAACTTTTGTTGTGGGAGCTCCATTGACGGGTTTTGAGCTGCCAGTTTTCTCCCATTAAAAAGAACTGATCAGCGCCTCAGGGGGACAAGGAATACCGCTTAACTGCATAGTGATGGGGTCTTCATTTAGAACCATTACAAGAAGAAAATTAAACAGTGCCTTTGTATGCACAAGGTTTACTTTTCAACTGCTAACAGTTTATAGCTAACTGCTCTGAGATTGAAGTTTGACTATGGTTTGATCACCTGCTTGTTGGCACTGCTTATTTATTTATTTAATGTTGTAATTGAAAGAGTTTTTTATCCACATTTCTCCCCCTTTATCTCTTGCTCTTAGAGGATTTTGAAAAACAGGTCCTCATATTTTTCTTTGTGGAAGGAGTTTCCTTGGCCATAAGCTCTAGCAAGAGATGTGAGTTCACACTCCCCAACTGTCCCCCTGCCCCATTATCATATTAAAATTATTTTCATTTCTGTTTTCTTTTTCTTTTCTTTCCTTCTCTCTCCTTTTTTTTCTTCTCCCCCCTCTCCAGCTGTATTTCCTTGCTCTGGGAGCTAAGGCTGCTTTTCAAGCCAGGACTGGGTTTGGGGATGAGGGGTGGCTGATTTCTTTGCCTTGCTTTCTTTTTTTTTTTTTTTTTTTTTTTTTTTTTAATTTAAGTTGGAAGAGGGCTGGGTGGATTTCCTTAGGGGCCTCGTGTATGAGGTGAACCCCTTAAAGAAGGGAGAAGGGGGAGAAAACTCTTTTACTGCAAACATCTGGACAAGGTCCAAATGGACATAGCCTCTGGACTTTTAGAATAGGAAGCTGTAGAAGGAGTTTTCCAAAGACGTGTGAATTGCACAAACCAGAGTATTAGTTTGTTTCTCCTTCACTATTTCTATGAAAAACTTTCCTGGAAATCTGACGTCTGATACCACTGAGGGAGACGTGTAAACCTCCTCTCTCCTTCTGAGGATTCTGTGCAGTTTCACAGTTGTTCCTTTCAGTTTGTATATTTTGCTTCTGCGGCCTTGTGACAATGATAGACTTGACTTCCTGATTTTGACTGAGGGGGCTTCTCGTTGGAAGGGTAGAGTATTAAGATAAGTCCAGGATTTCCATGTCAGAGAGCTCTGTTTACATATGCGGGTACAGATGGAGTTCATTTTAAATTTTGGTATAAGGGCGATGTTTCTGATTCCTGGAGCGCTGTGCTCAGATTGTCTCCCAAAACAAATCGAACGTCCTCTCACTTGGGGACGCACGATAATTTGCTGCTTCTAGGCGTTTGTACTTGAGATGCTTGTACTACTTTGCAAAGTAGTCAGGTGATTTGAAAGCTCAGAGAAGTCGTTCGTTTCAATACTCTCGTCTGCCTGTATAGACAGAATGTAGTGTGCACTGTTTCATAAAGATTTCGGCGCTTTGAACTCTATCACTTGGCCTCCCTCTCCCCGGCTTCGGAGCGGTGCGCGATGCGGGCTGCGAGCGCGCCGGCCTCCCGCGGGCAGCCCTAAGGGGGAGCGCGCAGTGCCCAGGGCCGTGCGGGTCGCGCCGGCAGGTGGAGGCCAAGGCCGAAGAGCACCCAGCCAGGGCTCTGACGTCACCGCGGCCCTTGCCACGGCCCCCGTGGGGCTCCCCACGGAGGTGCTCTGTGGGACTCCACTTCTCTCCTACAGCACCACATGCTGCAAGGACAGAAAGGTTCCCGAGGTGTTGGGGTCTTCGCGGGGCCTCTGCCTTTTGCGCCCCGGCCCACGCCCTCTCCTCGTCGACCTCGTGACCCCGGCCACGGCCCAAAGCCGGGGTTGCCCACCAGAATCCCGCCTTTCTCTTGCCTCTCCCCGCAGCCCTTGGCTTTGAAGGGGGTTGCTTGTCCCTGTCTGTGGTCAAGTCCAAACGTGAGCTATCTCACAAAGCCTTTCCCGGTGACAGGCCGCCGACTGGCAGTGCCCGGGGATGCGACCCGAGCTAAGGTTCCGAGCTTCCCCGTGGGATCCGGGCAAGCAGGGACGGGACGACACCGAGCCTTCACTTTCCCGTCTGGGTCACAGGGATGACATCCGGGCAGGGGTACCTCGCAGGAGATGAGTGCAAGACGCCCGATACCAAACTGCCTCCGTAGAGACTGACTTTTCCGAATCGCCCAGCTGTAATATGGGGAAGGGGAAGGCGAGCGAGTCTCCAGTTAGACACCCGAGATCCTCGCAGAAATCTCGGCCCTTCCTCTCTTTCCTTGGCCCGGGTAGAAGGATTAGCCCTGCGCAGACCACCCTTACTTCCCCAGCGCTCCTTCTGGCTCAGGGCTTGCCTAGGAAGTTATCTCAAAACTTGCCAGCCCTCGGATATCTTCCTGAGGGGAGGGATGCTGGCATTCCAGGCGGGAAACC